GGGCAGTTCCCCGCTTTCCTGGCACAGCCCCAGACTGAAGTAACCTTAAAAAAGCAATTAAATCACCTTTAAAAAAAAAAAACCCAGTAAAGAAAAATCAATACCAGGAGAAAGGGGAAGAGAGAGGCTGGGGAGGATAAGGAGGTGGGGGAGGAGGTGCTGGAAGGATCTGGTAGTCTAGCAGGGAGGGGTGAGCGTGGGAGGGGGCTGCCCCTGGGCAGCCGGCAGAGATGGGGACAGTCTGTCATTGCTTGGGGGCTCTGGGTGCCAACCCCTTTCCCCTCTGGGATGCTGCCAGATGCAGCCCCTGAGACCCCAGGGGTCTCAGCTCCCCAGCTTGGGGGAGACGGCTGGTGGGGAAGCCCAGCCAAGGGGCCGCTGGAGACAAACCCCAACAGGGTGCCCCAAAGGGCCAGGGTTGGTGGGCGGCTGTGTGTGGGTGGGCTCCGTGCTGGGGTGACCTGTGATGGACGGGGCCTGACCCGGCCTTGCAACCAAGGGTGAGCAGAGTGGTTCCCTGCTCCCCAGGGGAGCCATCCCTGGGCCCCTTTCCCAGGCTAGGCAGGGGCTGCGACCGGCAGGGCAGGCCCGCCGCAGGGGAGAGGTGGCCACTGGGCAGCGGGTGGACCTTGGACTCTAATGGCCAGCAGCTGCTGTTTCCCTCAGATCGATTCCCTTCTCACTTTTTTTTTCAGCTGCCGGTTCCGCGGCTCGGATCGATGGAGCTGCCTCCCCCACCCCTCTGAGCTTCCTCTTCCTGCTGCTCATTAGCGCCCCGATTAATCAGCCCCCCACCTTTCCTCTAGGGGACGAGTACTTCCTCTCCCATGAGGGCTCTCGCTCTCACACGGGCACTCCCCCCAGAGCACAAGCTGCTCACGGTGACCACCTCCACCCTGGGGGCACCCAGGCACCACCTCCTCTCCGCCGGCCACCAGGGGCCCCATCCCTGCCTGTGATAGCAGCCCGCATGCCTGCTTCCCCTCCGCCAGGCGGCAGCCACCCCAGGGCTCCCCTGCCCCTCTGCCAGGCGCCCCCGTATCCGTTTCCCTAGGACTGCGTTCCTTCCCATTCAAGCGCAGCACCTCTCTGCTCCCTCCAGCACCCCCATGTGGGCTCTTCCTGACCTCCGTTCCATACCCTCTCACCACATCACACCTCCTCTGCTCCCTGGGCTGTCCACCCAACGCGCCCCCAACCCCCGGCCTGGCAAGGGATTTGGGAAACATTTGGCGAAGCAAAGCGGCCACAGATGTGCAAGTCAGCCAGGGTGCCCTCTGTCCCAGACACATGAGACACTGAGTTTCGGGGGTGGAGGTGAAATCGGGGAGAGGGCGGCCAGCATCCCAGAGGGGGCAGGGGTATGGTGGGTGTTAAGTTGGGAGCAAAGCTGCAGGGAAGCCAAGAATCTTGGTGGAGCCACCATTGTCCCCTTGTCTGTCTCGCCTGCCCTTCTCTGCTCTGCCCTCCCCTCCCCTCCCTCATTCAAACAAGTGGCTCTCCCAAGGAGTTTCTGGAAGCCGCCGTGAGTGGGGTAGTGGGGCCAGGTGGTGGCTGGGTGGCTGCAGTCAGGAGTCAGGGAGGCCAGGAGGTCGGGGATGGAGTCGGCTGACCCTTCCTGGGGTGCGGTCCAGAAAAGTGGCAGAATGAGCAAAGGACTCCGGGTGCAACCCTCCTCCCCGGGTGGCCTGGGAGTGGGGCCATGCGGGGACCCCACGAATGGCTAGGGTGTAGCAAGAGTTTGGGGCTATCCCGACGAGGTCTCAGGCAGCAGGGACGGGCGATCCCTGTCCCGGGCTGGGGGCTGCCCCCTCCCCTGGCCTGGCTCCTGCCGCCCGTGCCGCCGGTGAAACGCTGTTGACATGTCCTGAATTATTAAGCACGGGGTGGGCTCCGGAGCACGTGCTGAGCAGAGCGGCTGGGGCTGCGCGGCGTGGCGGAGCAGCGCTCGCTCCCTCGCTCCCTCGCTCGCTCGCTCGCTCGCAGGGACACACGCAGGGGCTGACAGCTGTGCCGGTGCTGATAAGGGAAGCCACAAGGAGACGATCGAGGAGAGAGACAAGCGGCAGCAGAGGCGTCAGCGGCAGCGGCAGCGGCAGCGGCAGCGCCAGGGCTGCGGAGTCGCCGGGAGTGGGAGTGACTCCCCCACCTCAGGCCCCCACCCTGTCCCCGTCCTCTTCCCGTTTGCCCTGAGTTTAGAAGAGCAGCCGCTGCCCCCGCAGCCACTCCGGAGGGCACCGGGGGCTGCTGGCCAGGGAGGGACAGGGGCAGGTAGGCTCCAACCAGTCCCAGCAGCTGGGCACAGATGCCGATCGAGATTGTGTGCAAAATCAAATTTGCAGGGGAGGATGCGAAACCCAAGGAAAAGGAGGCAGGGGATGAGCAGAGCCTCCTGGGGGCCGCGCGGGGGGCAGCAGCCCCCCGGGACCTGGCCACCTTTGCCAGCACCAGCACTCTGCACGGGCTGGGCCGGGCCTGTGGCCCAGGCCCCCATGGACTGCGCAGAACCCTGTGGGCACTGGCCCTACTCACCTCGCTGGCTGCCTTCCTGTACCAGGCGGCCGGCCTCGCCCGGGGCTACCTGACCCGGCCTCACCTGGTGGTAATGGACCCGGCTGCCCCAGCCCCAGTGGCGGGCTTCCCGGCCGTCACCCTCTGCAACATCAACCGTTTCCGGCATTCGGCACTCAGCGACGCCGACATCTTCCACCTGGCCAATCTGACCGGGCTGCCCCCCAAAGACCGGGACGGGCACCGTGCCGCTGGCCTGCGCTACCCGGAGCCCGACATGGTAGACATCCTCAACCGCACTGGCCACCAGCTCGCGGATATGCTCAAGAGCTGCAACTTCAGCGGGCACCACTGCTCCGCCAGCAACTTCTCCGTGGTGAGTCCTGCCAGCCGGCCCGCCCAGCCTGAGGTGGCCAGAGGCTGGCGGTGGGGGAGGGAGTGGTGCGCAGGGCATCCTCGTCAGGGCTTCCCCTCCTGCCGCCGCCAGAGGCTGGCCTCGTGTCGCCCCCATGCCCGGTGTTGCCCTCGGGCTCCCCAGCATGGAGCAGTGGACGCTCGTGGGGGCTTACCGTGCTGCTGCTGCCACTCTCTTTGGGCTCTGCCGCCGCTGCAGAGCCTAGGTCTGGGGGCCAAGGGTCCTGGAGTGGGCCCGGGGGCCCAGAAGCTGGTCAGCTTGCAGGGGAGGGATGCACCATGCCACAGCCGGACCAAGTGACCCCCGCTTTTCTCTTGCTCTCCTTTTCTCCTGTGGCCACTGGATTCTTCTCCCCACCCAACAAGGGCGATGGGGAGAGGGTGTTCTGGGGGCTCCAGCAAAGGGGGGACTCAGGGCTGCCTCTGGGGGAGCTGGCCCGGCAGGCAGCCTGGACAGAGCCGATCTTCGCGTACACTGGGTGCCAGTGTCTCTCTCACACACCCCCTTTCACTGACTCACTCACACATCCCTCTTTCACGCTGCCCCTCCAGCTTCTCCCGCTTTGCAGGCCCTCCCTCTGTTTCCTGGTTCTTGCCCGGCTCTGGCTTTTACACTGAGGGTCACTCATTCACTCTTAGGTGCATGGCTCACCCTCACTGCTGCCCAGCATACACACACACCCCTACCGCATGGGGACATAGTTTCCTGCACACTCTCTCACACACAGTGTCCCTGTCACTACACTCACGTGCACACCTGCACACCCACGCACCCAGAGAGCTGCTCATCCCCGTGCCCACATCCCAGCTCTCACTAAGCTGCTGAGGACAGGGTCACACCGTGGATGCTGTCCCCTCTTGTGACACCCCCACCTGCCTCAGCCCCTGCTCCCCGTCTCTCACATATGTGCAAACACACACACACACTCTCACGAGGAGTGGAGTGGAGTGGAGTGTTGGCTTGGGCTACCCTCCCATGCACACCTCCCACAATCGGGTGTGTGAGGTGTGTGTGGGGTGTGTGTCTTGTATGCTGTCTGTCTGTCTGTCTGTCGGTGCTCCGTTCACCCATAGTCACAGGCTGTCTATTATTCCTGGTGCTTGAGTTGCTGTCCCCAGTCCACAGTTTACCCCCGGCATTGTGTACGTGTGGTGTGTGTGGGGTGTGTTTTCACTCTTGTGACCACCGCCCAGCGCATGTGCAAATACATGGCATCGACGTGGTTCCCATCCAGCCCAGCCTCCAGCTCCAGCCCCAGATGGGGACCTTTTCCTTCTCGTGGCCGGTGCCGCACGCGAGCTCTCATTCACTCACTGCCTCAGTAGCACCAGGAAACAAGCTCCACCCGTGTCCCTGCCCCCACCATGCCTGCAGCCTCGGGGTCCTCCTGCCATTGGGTGGCGGGAGTTGCGTAGAAATGGAGGAAGGGACGAGAAGGAGGATGTGCTGGGAGAGGAACCGGGGCGGGGAGGGGATGGCGGGGCCCTGTTGTCCAGCTGCACGCCCCTTCTTCCAGGAAAAATTCAATGCTCTCAAAGCGATTGTCCCTAAGGAGCAGTGTGTGAATGTGGCCTTTCGGGTCCGTGGGGCTCCTCTGTGAGACATCGTCACTCCTGAGTTTTGGGGGTGGGGACAGAGCCCGTGTCAGCAGGTGCTGTTGGGGCAGAAATCAATGGGGCCTTTGTGTCCCTGAGTGGGAGTTTGTGTCCCAGGCCCTGGTGAGGGGTGGAAGGGCAAGAGGAAGAGTAATGAAGCCTCGGGGGGAGGGGAGGGAAGGGGAGGAAGAGATAGAGGGGCAAGGAAGCAAGGTGAGGGAGGCTGGGGGTAGCTGCCTGGCCTCCAGGAAAGGAGGAGGTGCCTGGAGGATATGGGAACAGGGAGCCCCCTGATTAAAGCTGGCGAGTCCCTGTGAATCTGGGGATGGCCAGGCAGAGGTGAGGGTGGACATCCCACAGGCCCTTTCGTACCCTGAGGATGGAGAGGAAAGGACAGAAGTTTGTGGGTCTCTGCTCTGGGGCTGCAGCAGGACAATGAGGGGCAGAGAAGCAAAGCAAGCACGGGGGGGTCAGGGATTCCCCTTGGACCCACCTGTCCCCTGGGGAATTCCTGTCCCCCCCACTCAGCCTAGTCCCCATACCCTTCTGCCCAAACCCCACCCCCCATGTGCTGAGTGTAACTCTCCCTTGGACCTGGCATTCTAAGGCTGAGTCTGCTGCCAGTTTACAAGGGTCTGGGATTATGGTTGGGATGGGATGATCCACGGTAACGGGGAAGATGGGGGTGTATTGTGTGGGCAAGACTGGAGAAGGGGTATGGAGGCAAAGACATCAGGGGTCTCTGATGAGGACATGAGGTCCACAGTAGACTCCGTGGTGAGAATATGGAGCCCATGATGGGGATTTGGGATCGATGGAGGGGTGATGGGTGCAGGAATCAGTGGTGGGAACCTGCCAGGGCACGTGTGCTGAGATGGTCAGAGACAACGACGCGCTTTGGGGAAGGTATGTGTTTTCTGTTGCTTTCCCCATTTCCTCCTTCCCACTCCCCACTCTGCTGTGACCTTTCTTCCGGAATCCAAGTTAATAAATGTCACATTTTCCAGCCTATTTTTACTCCGGGTAAAATGCCCTCCCCCAGTCCCCTCAGCTGCCGCTCTTGCTTCTGTTACCACTGCAGTCGCTCTCACCCCCATGCTCCCTAATATCCCCTCACTGATTCCCAATCAGTCACTCAATCAACACGGAGTTCTGAGCACCTACTATGTGCCAGGCTCGCTGCCAGGTGCTGTGGTGGAGAACAAAGAAGGGGAGCCCTGGTCCCCAGTCCCTGTCCTCAAGCAGCCTCCAGTCTTGTGGTGGAGCTGGGATGGGGACACTTAAAATGCTTTACCAATGGAAGAGTTAACCAGCCATGCAAGCAGTGTCAGGAGGTGCTGGGATTAATTGCCAAATGAGGTTACATGGATAGTAAGAGCCTGGGTTCAGAGAGAGGGGCCATTCTGGGCTGAAGAGGGCTGGGAAGGCTTAACGGATGCAGCAGCCTGGGCGAGGTTTGGAGAGGAGGGGAGGGGAGAGAGGCGAGAGAGAGGAGTGATGCTTCCACCTCTCCACCCATATGCCCCTCCACCCAGCTCACCCCATCTCTTCTCTTTGCTGCCCCCCTCCTCACCCAGTCTCATACCAACCCACTCCCACCTCCACCACCACTTATATGTTCTCTCTTCCCCCTCAATTCCTACCGCCGTCCGCTCCCCCAGGCCAGCGTGCCAAGCCCCATCTATACTTTCCCCCCTGCGGCTGCTCTCAGCCTGCCCACTTACTAGAAGGCAGAAATCACTCTTTCTTCCTAGGCTTCGTTTCTTCAGCTGTAAAATGTGGCTCTAAATTCCAGCGTCTCCTCTCAGCTGGGGACTGTACGGTGGAGTGGTCAAGTGTGTGGGTTCTGGAGCCAGACGGTCTGGACTCAAACCTTGGCTGGGTGGCCTTGGAGAAGTTAGCTTCTGTGAGCCTCAGTTTCTGTATTCGTGATATAGAATATTAGAACCTAAAAAAATTCCGGTGGTTGTGAGGATTAAAAGAGGTGGCTGTAAAGGGCGTAGCACACTGCCTGGCACACACATCACGTGCACTCAGAGTGTCAGCTGTTAGAAATGCCACCACCCCAACTCCCGGCTCTCTTTAACCTGACTGTTCCCAGCACCACCTGCTGTTTTCCAACCTACGTGCTGGCATCTTCGCTAGTCTCCATCACCTAGCCTTCCTCCTCTCTTGACCCTCAAGCCTCCGCCCCCCACCCTATTATAGCATCCCCATGCTTCCCAACCCTCCCCAGTACTCAGGCATGCGTGTGCATGTGTAGCAGTGCATACACTTGAGAACCGTGCTGTCCCACAGAACACTCTGTGATGACGGAAATGTCCTGCATCTGCGCTGTCCAACGTGGTCATCACTAGCCACACAGGCCAGTGAGCACCTGCAGTGGGATTAGTGCGACAGAGAGCATGAAGCTTCCATTCAAACAGCGGAGTGTGGCCAGTGGCTGCCGTATCGGACAGTGCTGCTCTAGGTGGTCCTGGGGGCGTGGTTCAGGCTGCCAGGTTGGGCAGGGCTAGGCTTTCCAACGGGCATCAAAGGATAGAAAGTGATGGTGGTGGGCTGTGATCAGAAGCCCGGCCATCTACTCTCCGGGCTGAGGTCCCCGGTTGAGCTGAGGATGGGGCCTGTGTCTGGGGACATCGAGGTGTCTGGAAACACCACCGAACAGATACACCTTTCTTCCCAGGTGCAGGACGTGACCTTGGTCTTTTCCATTCTATTGTCTGGAAAATTGAGGCATGGGGAAGGTAAAGAATCCATGAGGAGGCAGGGGGAGGGCCAGCCCCTCTCTGTGGGGTCCTCTGGGGTCCAGGCAGCCCCTGGAGGTGCAGGTGACCAGAGACCTGTGGGCACTTCCCTGTTTCTATCCCCTCTCAGGGCTGTCAGCCTTCCCTCCCCGCCTCCCAACCCTCCTTCCCCACACGCTGGTGACTGCCTTGACTATTAATCCCTCGCCCTGTTCTCTTCCTCTCTGCTAATCAGGCACAATTAGACAAGGCCTCTTCCAGCTGGGCAGTCCTCCTCCCTGCCCCTTTCCCTCCTCTCCCAGCCCCACCCCAGCTCAGTCGGGACGGCTCTGAGGCAGAGGGAGCTGCGTGCCAGCCCTCCATCACTCTCTGGCTCCCCCAGCCCACAATTCCAGGGTCCTCCGCCATCCCCGGCCTTCTATGCAAGCTTCCTCCTGAGCCCGCCCCTTCCCTGGTGTGGTCAGGCCGGTACTGACAGTCTCTGCACCCACTCCTTGATTGTGGGAGGGGCTACTCCACAGACATCCCAACTCCAGGCCTCCGCCACTGGCGCCGAGGGCCTGAGGGCTGCCCCTTGCCCCCGTGACTCAGGAAGGGAGAGGATTCCCACTGCGGCCTCTCATCTACCGGATGAGCTTACCTCGGACCCTCACTCCCAGCCCAGCCCTCCCTGCCCTCCGGCCCCACCTTCTCCTGAGGCGTGAACCTTGAGAACATTTAGTTTAACATCTAGTTCAGGGGTGGTCCTGCCTTCGGGAGCCAGGCAGATCAGGTCGAAGAAGGCACACAGTAGGGAAGGGTGGGGTATGAGGGGAAGTGAAGGTCACTTACCCTTGAAGGGAGCAGCTGTTTCTCAGCCCCAGCTAACTGTTGCCCTGTGGTCAGGGATGCCCGGTGTTAGGGGGTCTTCCAATTTGTCCAGAGAAGCCCCGAGTCTTGATTATTTTAATTAAAAATTTCCTGAGTAAAAAAAACATTCAGAGGGCTAGCTACAACTCCGACTGCAGGACCCAGCGTGCCTGCCCTCCCCACCGCCTGCCCCACTGCCGGCTGCTGCCCCTCAGGCCCTCCCGGAGGGGGCGCTCTCAGCCTGGCCGCCTCCCATTGGCCGGTGGAGTTGCTGGAGGGGATTTGAGCCCAGCAACCAGCGGCAGGGACTGTGACTGTTACCCGGGGCTGGCCTGCAAGGGCAACGGGGAATGCCAGGAGGGACGTGCCCCACCTGGCCCTGCTCTGCAGCCCCGTGGCCTCTTCGTTAATCAGGCATCAGCCCCGAGCTGGGCTCATTATCACCTCCGCTCCTCGTGGCGCTGCCGGAAGATGCTGATTAGCATTTGAAGAAATGGCCCCCGCGTTTCCCGCTTGTCCTCCCTCTTTCTACCCGTGCTCCTTCCTGGACCCCCACCCCGGCCCTTCTGCTTCTCGGGAGGAATCTGCTCCCTCTCGCGGCTGGTGGCAGGCCTGTCTCTGCCAAGCCCAGGCCAGGGACAGAAAGGACCAGGACCAGGGGGCAGGGAGGCAGGGGCGCCCCAAGGAGTACTAGGAGTGCAGGGTTTCGGGACTACTCTGGCTGAGGTCACTGGGTGGAGGAGGGGGAGTGAATGCGGGGTGGAGACTCAGGGTGGTGGGGAGAGGTGGGCAGCCTCCCTGGAGGAGGGGATGAGAGGGCAGCCTCGGGCTGAGTGTAACCAGTGTTTCCCTGTCCTTCTCCTGGCAATGCCACCTCCTTGGAGCAGCTGGGCAGAGGGGGTGGGGACAGCCAGAACCGTGCACAGGAGGCCTGAGGGTTTTGGGTTTTTTTGTAAATCCTGGTGGAGGCTTAGGGTCTTGGAGCCATCCCACATGAATGGCGGGTGGGAAGGCAGGAGGAGGACAGAGACCCCGTGGGTGGAGATAAGAGGCTTCAGAGTGCTGTGTGTTTTCCAGAAGAGGGAGGGGGTATCTGCAATTCTTCCCCGGCTCTCAGGCCCCGAGGCCGGGGTTGGCAGCGCTGAAAATCCAACCTCCCCCCCGCAAATGTTCACCATGCCCTTGGGACACCCATTTTCAGTCAGAGGGGGAACAGTTCCAGAAAGACAGGCATAGGCAGCAGCAAGAGAGTTCAGACAGGAGCCACGGGATGATTAAGGGGAAATGGACGATTGATTTAGGAGGAAAGATTAAAGGAGCTAAATCCGTGGCGCTTGGCTCAGCGGTGACTAAGCGTGGACAGGATAATAGCTTTACAAATGTGTGAAAGGTGTAAATACCAAAGGGGGGGAGGGGAGGCGGCTCGGCGGGCCAGGAGAGCGGGGCTGGGGGCTGAGGAGGCCCCCGGAAGGGCTGGGGGCCCTTGGGCGACTGCTCGGTAGGGCTGGCTCCTCTCCAGTAGGGGTTCAGGGGGAGCAAACGGGGTGTCGGGGAGCCCCGGGTTCCAAGCTGGGGTTCCATTTCGGGGCCGCAGCTTCGCCGGCCTGTGCTGACCTCCACGTCCCACTCCCGCCCCGCTGAGGATCTGAGGCCGCGGGTTCAAATCCCATCCGAGTGCCTCTGCGCCTCTCGGCACCGGGCCTTTCCCTATGCATCCATCCGCTGGGGCCCGGGCCGCCGCCCCGCCGTGCCGGCTCGCGCGCCTCGCTCCTCCCCGGCCGCGGAGCGCGGTGGGAGGCGGTGTCTTCCTCCGCGGTGGAAGCCTTTGGCGCGGCTGTGTGCGGAGGTCACTTTGCCGAGGAGCCGGGAGCCGGAGGAATGCAAATGAGGCAAACCCCGGGAGGAGACCGGAGGGAGGGCGTCCGGGCGCCGCGATGGATGCCTGCCCCGCGGGAGGGAGGAGGGGGGCGGCGAGGAGCACGAGGCGGTGGGTGCGGCCTTCTGGGTGCGGCTGGGCCCAGCCTGGAGGCTCGGGCCACTCACCCACCTCCTCCATCTCCTCCACCTCCTGGGTCTCGGTTCCTGAACTCCCTCCTGGACACGGATGCGATCCACTGTGTAGGCAAGCTCTTAACGAATAACTTTGCATCGAGGGCTGGAACGTCAGGGAAGGACTTCGTTACAAATTCAAAATATTCCCGTCTGCAAAACTGACTTTCTAGGGTTTAAGGCCTATGCGGTCGCTACCTGGGAACAGGTTTGGCTGTTTACCTGCGTCCTGGAGGCCCCGCTCTCTCCTCTCCAGTGGAGACGCGGCGCTCCCTGAGATCACCGTGTTCTTCCACGGCCCCAAGGGCTCCGGGCTCCCATTTCCAGCTCGGCCTCAGCCTGGAGTCATACGGCCTCGACTGTCTCCTACTTCTCCACTACTGCCCACGCATTTACCTTTGCTCAAACGTCGTGCCCATTTCCTCCTAGACTCACAAGCACTTCTACCTTGGAGAAGAAGTCGCCTTGAAGAGCACCTGGGTGGCTGGGGGCTGGGGGGATGCTGCGTTGACCCTGTGGGGGAGGGCAGGTGCACTAGGGCCGGGGTGGGGTGGGGTGGGGGGGTATTCTCCATGTGTCTGACTGTGGTGTGATCGGATGCCCTTCCTGGGTGGATGAGTGTGCTTGCTCTGGGAAGCTTTATACTCTCCAACCCAAGTCGAATTCCCGTTCCGCTCTCAGGGGACTTGGATTGGTCTCCCTGTCATACCACCTATCCCAGCAAGCAGTGATTTGCCTATCCCTGGGATTGTTGGTTTTGTGTGCTTTGTTCACCACTGCTGTATACCTGGCTCCCAGCCTAGGTGCTCAATAAACACTTTTGGAACGAATGCATGCCTTTGGGGCCAGACAGCCAACTCCCTCAGGGCAGAGACCAATGATTTTGTTCTCCGAATCATCCCCAGCAGCGAGCATAGTGCCCGGCACACTGTACAGGCTCAAGGAGCAGCGCTGGACAAGTAAGTGTGACGTGAACACCCACCGTTTCTTTTTTTTTTTAAATAAATTGATTCATTTATTTATTTATTTTTGGCTGCGTTGGGTCTTCGTTGCTGCGCGTGGGCTTTCTCTAGTTGCGGCGAGCGGGGGCTACTCTTTGTTGCGGTGTGCGGGCCTCTCAATGCAGTGGCTTCTCTTGTTGTGGAGCATGGGCTCTAGGCGCGCGGGCTTCAGTAGTTGTGGCGCGCAGGCTCAGTAGTTGTGGTGCACGGGCTTAGTTGCTCCGCGGCATGTGGGATCTTCCTGGACCAGAGCTCAAACCCGTGTCCCCCGCACTGGCAGGTGGATTCCCAACCACTGCGCCACCAGGGAAGTCCCCACCCACCATTTCTTAAGCACCTCCTATTCACTGGGGCTGTGCCGGGTATGTTTCAGCACGCAGTGGCTGTGAGCACAGAGTCCACTGCCAGATCACCTGGTCCCCTCCTCTGCCACGTCATGTGACTCTGGCCAGCTCCTTACCCTCTCTGGACTTCCACTGTCTTGTCTGTAAAATGGAGATGTTTAGAAACCTCCAGTAGAGGGTTTTTGTGAGAATCAAGGAGTTAATTGATATAAAAGGCTTAGGACTGTGCTTGACACAGAGTAAGCACTGAATAAATGTTAACTGTGGCTATTATCTGTGTACATTATTTCTTTCCTCATAACACCTCTGACATGCCTATTATTATTCCTATTTTACAGATGAAAAGTGGCGGGTCAGAGAGGTTAAATGACTGAACCCGAATCCCACAGACAGTAAGGGCAGGGCTGCAGGCCTGTACCCTCCTCTGATAGGAGAGCCAGATCTCAGACCCTGGGGGGTTTGCTCTGACAGAATTCCATCCTCTCCCACAATTGCTGAGAGGGCCTTTACCAAGGTGCATGATGCCGTGTGAGAATGGGCCCAGTGGGGAGCCAAGATCAAATGGCCGCACCATCTTGGCAAGAAGATTCCCTAAATGGGCTCCCCTGCTCTCTTGAGAACCTTGCGCGCATCCCTCTGGACTTATCTCTGATCCTCACTACTAACCTTAGGAGGAGGAATTACCATTCCCCCTTTTACTGATAAGTAAACTGAGGCTCAGAGAGGTTAAATCGCCACCCAAGGTTGTTTGTTCAAGGCTGGTGTCAGAGCCAGGATTTGAACCCTATTCTGTCAGCTCCAAAATGTGTACCCGTTTTTCCACGTTATGAAGCTTAGGTGGCTCCTTTTCCAGCACCATATTCAATGGTCGATCTCTGCCCCAGTTTGGGCCTTACTGGTCTCCACAACACTCTTATTACTAATATTGAGGCCTCATGTATATGATGTTACCTTGCAAATGCCTTTCACCTACTTCATTTCTTTTGAGACTTATAACCAACCTGTGAAATAAGTCGAGCAGGAATTTCTATCCCCACTTGACGGATGAGGAAACTGAGGACCAAAGAAGTAAAAAAATCACTTTACTAACCAAGGTTACACAGCTGTCACTGGTGGAGCCAGAGCTGGGATCAGGGTCTACTGACCCCCAGGGGGGTGATGGAGGTTAGTGGAGAATGCTGGGGCCCAGTGGGGGGCGGGGGACTGGACTCAGGTTCTGAACGTGCCCTCTTTTTTCTGTATGTCCTTGGATATGTCCCTTGCCATCTCTAGGCTTCCAATTTGGCCTTTGTACAGTGAGGGTTTGGACTGAGTTACCTCCCAGGTCTGACCAGCGCAGACACCTTAGGCATTCTGAGTTGGTACTATCTTCCCTGGCGAGGACAGAGGAGAAGGCTTTGAACCTGGATGCTTGGGCCACCTGAGTGAAGCTGGGGCCCCAGGGCCATCTGAATTGGGATGCTAGCCACAGCCCAGGGCAGATGAAGGTGTGCGCACTTCCACTGGCCCACTCTGGACCCCAGGGCACTGCAGGATTAAGGGGAGTTCGTTCCAGGGGCCTAAGTGAGAGGCATGGGGCCGGACCACATCAGGAGAGGGCTGATGGAATTTGGAGGGATAAAGCAGCCATGGAAAAGAGGGCTGGGGGGAGGTGCCAAGGCCTTGGCAGAGGCAGGGTGCCCAGAAGGCGCTGGAGATAAAGCCCAGGCTGCAGATTAGCGCTGGGATTAGCCCAGCCTTGGCTGTTCCTGGCTGCTTCTTATCTCCTGGCGGCCCGGAGGAGCCCTCTCCCCCACCGCTCTGAGCCCTGGCCCTGCTAATTGCCTGTTAACCCTGTGGGCTCCGTGACTGCAGGGAGGATGAGGGGTTGGGGAGGGGTGGGTAAGAATGCGAGGAAATGGGAGCTGTGGACAGATGGAACTC